AACGTGAAAAAATTCAATCCAATTGATATACAACCACAGACTTTTTACATAGGAATGACACATCGGAAAAAATTTACATCACAACAATCACAGTTGTGATGTAATGGGTTTATCTCACAGGGTTAAAAAAAAAATTAAATTAAACAAGTTATGATATTTATCTCTGAAAACCCACAAGTTTATTTCATTAATTCATAACAATGCTTCTTTTGTTTCCTTGTCCACTGCAGGTTTCGCTGTATTGTGTACCCACTACAACCCAAGCTGACGGTGTTCGTTGCCAAATTAGCCATCGCCTCGATCTGGGTGTTAGCTGTGGCCTTCATGTGTCCTGCTGTAGTTGCCCTGACTGTGGAGAAAGTCCCTTTCCATTACATGATATATAATAACAACTTCAATCAGACATTGCCCTTGTACACCTGCTACGAAAACTTTGCCAACCCTCGGATGAGAAATGTCTACACAGTGGTTTTGTTTGCACACATCTACCTGCTGCCCCTCACAGTAATCTCACTGATGTACATAAGCATTGGAGTCAAACTGTGTTCTTCTGTGTTTGCAAACAACGAGCCGCACCTGGCCAATGCTACAGTCCAGGAAGGAGGCAGGAGACACGCTCATCCGAGGGTATCGAGGAAAAAGATAAAGGTGATAAAGATGCTCATTGTGGTAGCTTTGCTTTTCATGTTGTCCTGGTTGCCTCTCTGGACCCTCATGATGATAACAGACTATGCAGACTTGGATGGGAACCAGCTGGACCTTCTGACCAGCTACATCTTCCCCTTCGCACACTGGCTGGCTTTCTCGAACTCCAGCGTCAACCCCATCATCTATGGCTACTACAATGAGAATTTTAAGAGGGGCTTCGAGGCGATATGCAAGTCCAGGCCTTTTTGCTGCGTTGTGCAGAGCCAGCTGTGGAGCAGAATTGTTGGGTGGAGGAGGAAAAGAAGGTCTGTGCAAGCACCTTGTGAAGGTACTGCTTCTAGAGAAGTTGTTAATCACAACCATTTTGTGTTGGGACTAAGAAATCGAGTCCATAATGACAACAAGTTGAATGACACGGCTGAGGTGAATAGGAGTGCGAGAGTCGAGTGTGCGGTGGTCCACTCGGGAAGGGCGCTTACGGATCAAGAGTTAGAAATGACTGCTGTCAATAAGAAAAGCAGTAATGAAAAAGAATCAGAAAAAGTTAGTTCACTGGCAATTTCACCGTATCAGGTGTGGGATAACTGAATA